TGGTATACACACCCTTCTGGCTGCACATCCTGAACTTCTGGAAGATGAGACATGAAGATCACATTCTCTTCCTCCGGTATGAGGACATGAAGAAGGTAATGTTTTACTCTTTTTCGACATGTGATATTGCAGTGATAATGATAAATAACATGTATGATATGTTGTAATATTTAACTAAGTAACATGTTTTGATTTAAAATTTTCTCATTGAGGTATTTTGCCTTCACCTGATTGCTAGGTATATTTAATAAAATACTATAAATAATCTGACCAATTCTTTTTCCATATATTATATACATATTGAATGCAGGACCTGGCGGCAGTAGTGAGGCAAGTGGCAGCTTTTCTAGGAAGAGATGTGAACGAAGAGCAGGTGTCATGGCTGACTCATCACTGCTCCTTCGAGGAAATGAGCAAGAATCCAGCAGTAAATCACGAGACCTTGCGGATGGCACCCACACAAGAGGCAAAGGCAATAAAGTTCATGAGAAAGGGCAAGGTAACTCGTACAGAAAAATACTGTGTATCTATCTTGGTGTTCATCTTAATAATAGTAAATTAATGAGTCACCAGAGTCGGGTGCTGACCCTCTGTCAGGTGTGCGAAGAAAATGAACGTAAATAGAGCGTAATAAAGCCGGGGACTTTAGTAAACCTCACTACTCGAGCATTTTTGTTGAAACGCAGTTAGACTGGAGCTATTCTTAAATTATAGCAATTTTAAAAAGTCAACAAAATAGGCGAACCAAACATTTACGAAGTAAACCTGTATTGTAGATGAATAGTTCAGAGAGCCGACATGTTGATAAATTAGACACATGTGCAATTCTTGGGTATCTTTATTGAGGAAACGTTTAGCCACACAGTGGCTTCATCAGTCCATACATAGGAGAAACTTGAAGAACAGGAGGAGAATGAGGTAATCAGTCCCCCAACCTTGAGTTGAGTGGTCAGTCCATCAATCTTTAATAGAATACGGCATATGGACTGATGAAGACACTGTGTGGCGAAACGTTTCCTCAATAAAGATACCCAAGAGTTGCACATGTGTCTAATTTATAAACCTGTATTGTTCAACATGTTGCATACGTGAGCTTCATTAAGTGTACAATGGAACAAACAGCTAGAACTTGTTTAGTCTGTCACAGCAAGTGAGGAGAGGTGATGGAAGATATAATGGCGGCACGATGGTCAACACACACTATTCTCATCGACGGTGTTAAGTTTAACAGCTGCTTTCTTTCTTGTGTTATTCCAGGAAAATCATCGACACATAGATCTCTTATAAGAAGATCCAGTACAGCCATATAGGGAAGGCACGGAGAAAAAGCAGCTATTAAAAGCGTAACGCCATCAAAGAGAGTCGCTATTATAAGCCTTGTGGCTGGCCACCTCAAAGTGATAGCTGCCTTACCTATCGAACTCAGTGATCTGAGCAACTTTCTTGTTCAACTTCTTCCTTAGTTACTAGTTTAATGTTGCTCCATGACACAACATAGTGAAACTGGTTGCTACTGTGTGAATGATTGCGTGTGTTTCTGGTGTAATAAATTTTGCAAGACATCTTGTGTTCTTGAAAATTATGAAGAGGATATTACATCAACTTTGATCCTCATAATATTGTTATATCCTGCATAGCGTACAGTGCAGTTGTTGTCTTTGTTGTCACAGGTGTTGTGTTTAGTGTGTCCAGTAAGTTCATGCATAATTTTTGTTGCCTCGAAAACAATATGTGGTAAAACTTGTGACCTACTGACAATAATCATTCTGCATTCTATCTTTGTGCCTAACACATTCCAGCACCTCTCCTCCCCTGCTGTGCCTAACACATTCCAGCACCTCTCCTCCCCTGCTGCAACCAACCATACTATTTTGTGTATTCAGTGTTCAAATTGAAGTAATTTATATTTATTGTCAATTTTCAACTCAAAAAATCTATTTTACAGGTAGGAGACTGGAGGAACCACTTGACGGAGGAGCAGCAAAAGGCTTTCAAACAATGGACTTTGAAGTATCTGCAGGGCACTGACTTTCCTTACTATCAAGACTACGAATAAGATGCAACAAATCACACATAATAATTGCTAGATATTCTTATGTATGCAAGACTTGGTTAAATTTGTGTTGCAAGTCACATTTATTAACAAAATCTAGATTAGGTTTCTATTACCAATATACAGATTGTTACTAAAGAATAAAACAATGTTGTCTTAAAATTAATAAATGTGTAAGTGTATGTTAGCTTCCTGTTCGCTCGGTAATTTTAGATAATTAACAAAAAAGTTAAGGAAAATTATTATCCCATCCTCTCTACGAAAACTACATGTATTTCCGTTACCCTGTGACCAGCGCCTCAGTGCAGTGTGACCAGGTTGGTAATGACATTTAAACAATAATTTAAATATTTAAAGGAAATCAAAAGACGCCTTCACATGGATATCAGATCAAATATAATTCACACCCTTGAAGGAGACCAAAAAGACCAATATCCAATACACACAAGCACATTTATTTTGAAGCCTCTCAGAAGTTGCATTATTAAGCTGACAAAGATGTAACAGTGAGACTTTGGTTACAGAGAACTTCTCGTGTTCCCTCAACAGTTTGAACACAACTTCAACCTGTGTGTACTTGGAGTTTACCTGGAGAGGTTTCTGGGGTCAACGCCCAGAAACCCTCTCCAGGTAAACTGAGTAAGACTGAGGCCTCAGACCCGCGGCCCGGTCTGAGGCCAGGCCTCATAATGGATCAGGGTCTGATCAACCTGGCTGTTACTGCTGGCCACACTCAAGCTGACGTACGAACCACAGCCCGGTTGGTCAGGTACTAACTTTAGGTGCCTGTCCAAGTGCCTTCTTGAAGACAGCCAGGGGTCTATTGGTAATCCCCCTTATGTATGCTGGGAGACAATTGAACAGTCTTGGGCCCCGGACACTTAATGTGTTGTCTCTCAGTGAACTCGAGGCACCCTTGGTTTACATCAGTGGAATGTTGCATCTCCTGCCGAGTCTCTTGCTTTCATATGGAGTGATTTTCGTGTGCAGGTTTGGAGCCAATCCCTCCAGGACCTTCCAAGTGTATATTATCATGTATCTCTTTTGCCTGTGTTCGAGGGAATACAGAAAAAGAACCTTCAACCGTTCCTAGTAGTTTAGGTGCCTTATCGCACGTATGTGTGCCGTGAAAGTTCTTTGTACACTCTCTAGGTGTGCAATGTAGCCAGCCTTGAAGGGGGCCGTTAGTGTACAGCAGTATTCCAGCCTACCCCTACCATATGATATGCATTAATAAAATATAATTAACTAGAGTTGTACTAGAAACACGACGCCTTAGTGACCCTCATATATTATATGTTAATGATACATTCTTTGTCTAACCCGACTTCACCTCTGATTATTAAATAGTCATTCTTTTACACTCCAACATAATTATTTTTTTCACAATATTTGAAACTATTACGGTTTTACTAATTTCAAAATATTTAACAAAATTTTTGTTAATTTTATTCTTAGGGGAAAATTGCGAATTTATTGTTATAAAGGGGATGTAGTAATATATTCAGATACTAATACTGTAAGTGGGTTGACAAAATCTTAATGCTTTACGAACTATAAAATATAATGAATAAATTCGAATTATTTTTAGCAAACGTAAGTTATTTAATAAGTATTATTTATTCAAACGAGTTCAAGCGTTTGAAATAATTCATAAGAAATTATATATTCAACACAATTTTGTTAGACAATAGCTATTCTTCTCTGAAGTGCTAAAAGAAAGCGAAGAGGAGTGACAGGAGAGGAGAGAGAAAAAAAGCCAGCTCTCTCTATTTCCCTTTTCGTCTTCCTTCTTGTGTAGTGAAGGAAAAAAGTGAAAGATGAAATTTCACTTCAATAAATTGCACTGCGAGATATTCAGAAATCTAGACTATGAATACCTTCCTTTGCCAGATCTTGCTCAAGAATATTTAAATGACTCTTGAGAGAGAAGTGAACTTTCGTCCACTAAGTTGTCTTACTGATAACCAGAGAAGTATATATAGGCAGGAGGCGGTAGTAGTAGTAGTACTCCATCGGGAGCCAGAGACGGGTCATCGCAAGATTGGGACCCGTGCCAGGACTATGGTCTTGGCGAACATTATACATACATACATAGTAGTAGTAGTAGTTGTAGTAGTAGTGGAGGTAGAAGGTAGCAGTAGTAGTCGGGGAGGTAGCAAGAAGGAGGAGGAGCCAGTTAAATACTAAGAAAGAGGAGCACTGCAAGGGAGATAGGTGCCCACAGAGGGTAAGAGCAAGAACACAGAGGGTGGGAATAATAAATAAATAAATAAATAAATAAATAAAGAAGGAACAAATACACAAGGCAGAAGAAAGACAACCCAAAGGAGAAAAAGGAAAGAGGAAAGGGGAAGAGGGAGAAGAACAAAAAGGAGGAATCAGGTTAAGTGATGAGTGTTCTGAAGTTTGTAGCATTTTACAATGTAGTGGGAGAGGAAGGCATCTACAGAGACGAAGCTAGGACTAAGATTCATACAAAGAAAGTTGTGTATTAGGGAAGATTTAACCAGACGGTGCCGTTAAGTTGGAAGTAGGGAAAACGGTTTTAGCAGAAGACCAGCCAATAGGATGGCTGAGTCCGTCAGAAAGAGATCGGCCAGTTACTCCAGAGTATTGAGGAAGACAGGAGGAACAAGAAATAGAGAAGACACAAGGAGCATCTGTAGAGGGAGGAGAGGAGTGAACGAGATTAGTGCGAAGAGTGTAAGTCTGGCGGAAAGTAAGTTTGATTTCTAAGGAACAGAGAGAGTTGTTGAGATTAGTGTGACTTTGTAAATGGTCCAAGTCGGAACGAAACCTCGACTAAACTCCCCTTTTCTATGTGCGGGCTATTCGTGTATCATTCCATACACGGTATAGTGCCTTTTTTTCATTTTTGGTAACTAGAGATTCGTTCGTAAAAAAATATCCAAAAATTAAAGAGGAGCTGTCCCTGAGGAAATATCGAGGTTCATTTCCTGAGGAGTGGTGCACATTCCCTCAGGGAAAATACACTCCTGAGGAAATGTACACCACTTATCAAGGCTAATGGAATGTACACCGTCTATCAAGGTTGAAGGAATGTGCACCACCTATAAAGGTTGAGGGAATGTACACCACTTATAAAGGTTGAGGAAATGTACACGACCTATCAAAGATGAGGTAATGTACACCACCTATCAAAGGTGAATGAATATACACCACCTATAAAAGGTGAGGGAATGTACAGCATTATCAAGGTTGAAGGAATGTACACCACCTGTCTAGGCTGAGGGAATGTACACCACTTATCAGACTGATGAAATGTGCATCACATATCAAGGCTGATGCAAGGTACACCGCTTTTCAAGACTGATGGAATGTACACCACATATCAAAGCTGAAGGAATTTACACCAAATATTAGGGCAGAGGGAATGTACACCATTTACCAAGACTGAGGGAATGTACACCATTTATCAAGACTGAGTAAATGTACGCCACCTATTTAGAGTGAGGGAATGTACACCACCTATCAAGGGTGGTGGAATGTACATCACTTATCAAGACTGAGGGAAAGTACTTTACCAAACAAGACTGGGGTAATGTACACCACCTCTCAAGGATGAGGGAATGTACACCACCTGTCAAGACTGAGGGAATGTACCCCACCAATCAAGACTGAGGGAATGTACACCACCTATAAAGACTGAGGGAATGTACACCACCTATCAGGACAGAGGGAATGTACGCCACCTATCAAGACTGAGGGAATGTACACCACCTATCAAGGCTGAGAGAATGTACACCACCTATCAACACTGAGGGAATGTACACCACCTATCAACACTGAGGGAATGTACACCACCTATCAACACTGAGGGAATGTACACCACCTATCAAGACTGAGGGAATGTACACCACCTATGAACACTGAGGGAATGTACACCACCTATCAACACTGAGGGAATGTACACCACCTATCAACACTGAGGGAATGTACACCACCTATCAACACTGAGGGAATGTACACCACCTATCAACACTGAGGGAATGTACACCACCTATCAACACTGAGGGAATGTACACCACCTATCAACACTGAGGGAATGTACACCACCTATCAAGACTGAGGGAATGTACACCACCTATCAAGACTGAGGGAATGTACACCACCTATCAACACTGAGGGAATGTACACCACCTATCAACACTGAGGGAATGTACACCACCTATCAACACTGAGGGAATGTACACCACCTGTCACACTGAGGGAATGTACACCACCTATCAACACTGAGGGAATGTACACCACCTATCAAACTGAGGGAATGTACACCACCTATCAATACTGAGGGAATGTACACCACCTATCAACACTGAGGGAATGTACACCACCTATCAAGACTGAGGGAATGTACACCACCTATCAAGACTAAGGGAATGTACACCACCCATCAAGACAGAGGGAATGTACACCACCTATCAACACTGAGGGAATGTACACCACCTATCAACACTGAGGGAATGTACACCACCTGTCAACACTGAGGGAATGTACACCACCTATCAACACTGAGGGAATGTACACCACCTATCAACACTGAGGGAATGTACACCACCTATCAACACTGAGGGAATGTACACCACCTATCAAGACTGAGGGAATGTACACCACCTATCAACACTGAGGGAATGTACACCACCTATCAACACTGAGGGAATGTACACCACCTATGAACACTGAGGGAATGTACACCACATATCAAGGCTGAAGGAATGTACACCAATTATCAACACTGAGGGAATGTACACCACCTATCAATACTGAGGGAATGTACACCACCTATCAACACTGAGGGAATGTACACCACCTGTCAACACTGAGGGAATGTACACCACCTATCAACACTGAGGGAATGTACACCACCTATCAACACTGAGGGAATGTACACCACCTATCAACACTGAGGGAATGTACACCACCTATCAACACTGAGGGAATGTACACCACCTATCAAGACTGAGGGAATGTACACCACCTATTTAACACTGAGGGAATGTACACCACCTATCAAGACTGAGGATGTACACCACCTATCAACACTAAGGGAATGTACACCCCCTATCAAAAACTGAGGAATGTTCACCACCTGTCAACACTGAGGGAATGTACACCACCTATCAACACTGAGGGAATGTACACCCCTATCAACACTGAGGAATGTACACCACCTATCAACACTGAGGGAATGTACACCACCTATCAACACTGAGGGAATGTACACCACCTATCAAGGCTGAGAGAATGTACACCACCTATCAACACTGAAAGGGAAAAGTACACCACCTATCAAGGCTGAGAGAATGTACACCACCTATCAGACTGAGGGATTGTACACCACCTATCAAGACTGAGGGAATGTACACCACCTATCAAGACTGAGGGAATGTACACCACCTATCAAGACTGAGGGAATGTACACCACCTATCAAGACTGAGGGAATGTACACCACCTATCAAGACTGAGGGAATGTACACCACCTATCAAGACTGAGGGAATGTACACCACCTATCAAGACTGAGGGAATGTACACCACCTATCAAAGCTGAGAGAATGTACACCACCTATCAAGACTGAGGGAATGTACACCACCTATCAAGACTGAGGGAATGTACACCACCTATCAAGACTGAGGGAATGTACACCACCTATCAAGACTGAGGGAATGTACACCACCTATCAAGGCTGAGAGAATGTACACCACCTATCAAGACTGAGGGAATGTACACCACCTATCAAGACTGAGGGAATGTACACCACCTATCAAGACTGAGGGAATGTACACCACCTATCAAGACTGAGGGAATGTACACCACCTATCAACACTGAGGGAATGTACACCACCTATCAACACTGAGGGAATGTACACCACCTATCAACACTGAGGGAATGTACACCACCTATCAAGACTGAGGGAATGTACACCACCTATCAACACTGAGGGAATGTACACCACCTATCAAGACTGAGGGAATGTACACCACCTATCAAGACTGAGGGAATGTACACCACCTATCAAGACTGAGGGAATGTACACCACCTATCAACACTGAGGGAATGTACACCACCCATGAAGATTGAAGGACTGATCATCTAAAAATTGCCTCTCTACTTCTGAATATATTTTATATACTGGCTTAAAATACTCACTGGTTGGTGATAGTTTTCCATCAACAGTTCTCACTATTTACTACATTTCATTATCTTTGCTGCAACACTATACAAGACATATCACCATTTTTGCAACACACTATGCAATATTTATCTTTTGAACATATTTGCTAAAACGCATATGACATTGATAACTATCTTTGCAACACACAATGCACCTCATACCACTATCTTTACAACGCTACATAACAGTTGTCGCTATCTTTCCAACAACATTTAATACCATCTTTTCAGCACACTATAAAATACCTATTACATTTGCTACACTATAAAACACTTTCACCATCTTCACCATGCGTCAGGCGACACTTGTTCTGTTTCGTGAAGAACTTTACCTAACTTTATGCTGTACACTATACACCTCCTGTCATCTTCACTA